AGTTCTTGTTCAGGAATGCTAATTCTATGCTTGATTTAATCTGGATTTCATGTTTCTAGTTTGAATTTGGGAAAAGCAGCAGAAAGAACTGCTGTTAATATTTAACTGATGATCGATAATCGTTTCAATTTATCATTGTGATTTCTATCTAAATATCTTAGCTAATGTTTATCATTCCCTTTCCCCTTTCATGTTTGGTCTCAAATGCATATTGGTTATCTTTTCCAAACTCGCGGTGAGGTTCAGACGTCGGTATGTACTTGAGTTCGACTTTTTAAACAAGTTTTTCGTATGTTCGGAGGACAGTAACTCATTCCTCGAAATATGTAAAGGGGACATGCATCACTTTTGAGAAAAACGAAGAGTCCTTGTAACATAGCATAAAGTAGTTATCGTGTTTTGCTCTCCGGTGGCAGAATCTCGACTGCTTAAGGGGTTAAAGTAGGATTGAAGTACTGAGTACGTAGTTTAAACTTAGCATGGTAGAAGTTAACGCCTTAAGTTTAAGCTGTCTCATATTTGCATAGTCGACGAAGTATTCAAATGAATTGATTCGTTAGCTGTAGTTTTACGGGAACTACCATAGTAAAATGTTGACAATTTATTGTTTCCTTGTATCTTATTAAAATTACCACTGGCTTAGCAAAATCGGACTATAATTTCAGGAAGTTCAAGATTACTTGAAGACTCTTTGTCCTGACCTGCAATTACAGAGGTGAATACGATGAAGAAACTAGATATCCTGAGACCAAAACCCTAACTATCGGACAATTCAAATTGGGATTGTGCCATGGTCATCAGGTATGGTTTTTTTGTACCTTGAATCGTTTTCTTCTTCTTCTTTCCGATGGTATGTAGTTGTATTGGACTCTGCATTTTAAATCAATAATCAGCTTTAAATAGATGTGGATTATACAAATTTATAAAGCATGCATCTGCCTGCTTCTGTGAAAAATATGTGCATTCATGTTCAATGATGTGATCTACACCTATGTTGCTCGGTCTCTAGAGTGAAATATTGGATACGGGATACAAATATGCTCATTCTTTTTTTCTAGTTTCCCCATGTATTTGAGGGAATCATGGAGGGTTATAACTCCGAACCCATGTTGATATGCACATTTCAAACAATACTAATCACTCTTAATGTGGCTCAATACATCAAGGTTATTCCCTGGGGTGACCTAGACTCTTTAGCCATGCTACAGCGGCAACTCGATGTAGACATCCTTGTGACAGGTCACACCCACCAGTTTACCGCATACAAACACGAAGGCGGGTTATTATAAACCCGGGATCTGCTACCGGTGCGTATAGCAGCATCACTTATGATGTCAACCCAAGCTTTGTCCTGATGGATGTCGACGGGCTACGAGTTGTGGTCTATGTCTATGAACTCATCGACGGCGAGGTTAAAGTTGACAAAATCGATTTCAAGAAGACAGCCTCTACAACTCACGCAGCTCATTGAACATTTTTAAGGGGTTTACCATCTGCTGCTGTTGACGTGTTTATTCACTCAAAAAGTTTGTCTTGCTGCCTACTGTTATGTCCTGTTTAGAAGCCATTTTAGCTAAGGCAAGCCTGGATTCTTTTCCTTTTCCTTAATGTTAGTGTGCCTTTACATCCATAATGTTTTCTTAAGGTTGAAACTAATTGCAAGTTCAAAATTTTCTCTAAACTGGTGATTTTATGTATATTATAGATTACAGATAACTAATCAAAATAATTTTATATAAATAACATACATAAAAGATCTCTTTCTTTGATGATCATTTTATGACTTTTTAAAAAGTTTAATGACCAAAACGAATGTTTAAACATAGTTCAATAACTCTTGGGTAAATTACACGTTTAGTACTTAAACTATTAATTTTTTTAAAATCATATTTGAAGTTTAATTTTTGTTTCATTTTAGTACTCCATCGTTGAAAACTTTAGTTTTGTTTATTTTAGTACCTCATTCAAATTTTAACGTTAAATTTTGAAAAAATTGAAAGTCTAGGGACTAAAACTGATGGTTCGTATACTAAACATATTAAGTTTTTAATAACGATACTAAAATAAAATGAAAATTAAACGTTAGGTATGATTTTAAAAAAATTAAAAGTTTAGATATTAAAATATATCAAAATTGATAATTTAGATACTAAATACGCAATTTACTCTAATCTCTTGTATATTTTACCGTATAAATAATCCAATACAGTGCGCCAAACGAAATGGCCGGAAGCTCAATTCAACGGTCAAAGGTGATGGTATCAACCGATTTTTAAACATTTAACTAAATATTAAAATAATAAAAGCACTGATTTTGAAAACCAAAGTTTGCTTCGTCTTCAAGTAAATAATTAGAAAATAAAATAATTAATTATTAATAAAAAACCATAATTTCAATCATTGTGATACCGAAATTATTTTATTATTATTTTTCTTTTGATCTAAAAAACCAAACCCAACCTTTTCTTCTTATTGAAGAAAATCAACATTTAGGCTCATAGTTTTAATACAATCAATATTTAAATAATAGGGTTTATGTTTTTCTAACGCGGATTATGTATAATAATTCATAATTCAACACAATGCTCTGTTTAGTAGGGGTGTAAACGAGCCGAGTCGAGTTCGAGTATTGCTGAGCTCGATCCGACTCGAAAACTCTGAAATGAAGCTCGACTCGAAAATTCGCAAGCTTAAAATTTTCAAGCTCGACTCGAACTCGAAATTCTGAACTGAAGCTCGTGAGCAGCTCGAAATGAAAAAAAAATCTTCAACTTAACTCGATTGAAGCCTCAAACTCGAGCATGACCTTAAATACATGAAATCTTATTGTATTTTTAAAAAAATCAATACATAAATATTAATATTATTATTAATTTTTTTTAAAATAAAATATTAATATATTATATTTTCGAGCTGCTCACGAGCTTTTCGAGTAGTTCGTTTCAGCTCGTTAAGAACTCGAGTCGAGCTCGAGCTCGAGTATTTATCGAGCCTTGATCGATTTGATCTAGAATAGCTCGCGATCTGTCTCGACTCATTTACAATCCTACTGTTTAGTACAATCTTTTTGCTCGTATATGACGGATTTGTCTGTTGCTAAAGGGAAAAACCAGAGGCAATTACCTCGTGTTTCAACAATTAAGGATAGAAATGTAAATAAGATGTGATAGATCATGAGTTATTTGATATTGACTCAGTCAACGCTCGATAAATATTATATTTTAATGAACTTAACTCGAGTTCGAGCTCGATTTGAGTTCTTAACGAATCGAAAAGAGTTACTTGATGTTCGATCCGAAAAACTCGTGAGTAACTTGAAAAAATTATATATTAATTTCGAGATTGAGTCGAATTTAAGTATTTTAAGCTCGCGATTTTTCGATTGTAGTCGAACTTGATTCGAGTCGAGATTGAGTTCTTAATAAATTATCGACTTTTCAAACAGGAAAATTCTGTTATGTTTCTCCTCGTTTGAACTGGAGCATAAAAAAGACAATAATATTATAAAGTCAACATTCTAATATGTTTATTTATTGGTGTTAATGTAAAATTATGAAATTGACAAATTGGTTTATTTATTGGAATAGTCTTTCTCAGTATCAGATATAAAAAGAAAATTTATTTTTCAACGATTGTAAATACTGTGCAATTCTATGGAAATTTGATGGCATCTCTTTCACATAAATATATTGTTAACGCACCGTTTGAAAAATGTAAAATTTTAAAAATAATATACTCAAGGATAAAATTACCGTATATTTTACTTTTCTATCTAATTTTTTTATTAAACATTTGTTTTCACCCCTAAAATTTTATAATTTCAAGTTCGTCCTCCTAAAATTTTATAAATTCGAGATCGCCCACTATAACATAAATCATGCGTCCGTCCCTAAATACACTCTAAAATTATAAATAGATTCGATCGTTATATAATAAAATAAATTAATAATTTAAGTATATACATATTTAAACTATTTAAGATTCACTCAACAAAACTAAATGAAATATGTGAGACACTATGCCCTAACTTTTTTTTATGAAATAATAATCTAAGTCCATACAAGTTTAAACATTAAGTATTACATATTACTTTTGCAATTTAAATTTGATTCTTGTAATATTTATATTCAATTCTATTATTATTTTCTATATAATAAAATTTAAAACTAAATAAATATGAAAAAAGTTAGATATATTTTTATAGAATAAAATTTGAACTATGATATTTATACTTTAATGTTCAATTTTAAAATATAATCAAGTGTGTTTTATCAAAAAGAAAATAGGGTAAACTACGAATTTAGTACCTACATGATCAATTTTGGTATATTTTAATACCTAAACTTTTATTTTTTTTTCAAAACCATACTTAATATTTAGTTTTTGTTTCATTTTTGTGCCCGTCATTAACAACTTAACGCGTTTAATACATAAACTATCAATTTCGGTCTGTTTTAGTACTTGAATTTTCAAAAAAAATTCAAAACTTAACATTAAATTTTGAAAGGATATACTAAAATGAAATAAAAATTAAACTTTAAGTATATTTTAAAAAATTAAAAGTTTAAGTATTAAAATGGAGCAAAACTCATAGTTTGAGTGCTAAACGAGTAATTTACCAAAAAAAAGAATATAATCAAGTGTGTAGTTAAATATCTAAGTAATTGTTGCATATAGTTTTTTAGTAAAATTAATGTTTTTTAACAAATATGTATCAAATAAAATCATTTTAAATGGAAATTCCTTTCCGATAATTAATTTATTAGCTTAATTGAAATATTATTAATTAGTCAACAGTTAATTGAATTAAGAAGAAAATCCAGTTTACATGCAAAGTAATATATTCAATTACGCGTGAGTGGCAAAACGGAAAATAATTCAAAAACCAAGGTAATTTACTCTCCTTTTCACTCTTACACAATCGCACAAAAACCGCGCCTTTTCAACAGTATATATATACATATAAGCATCCAAAAACAAGTCCCAAAAAAAAACCAAATCGAAATTTTACAAAAAAAAATTGGCGATGGGAGGAATTGAGCTGCTTGGTCTGCAATTCAAAGCTTTGTTGAAGAAGAATCTGATACTCTCCCTGCGGAACAAGCGATCGACGTTTATCCAACTCTTCTCTTCGTTGTTCTTCATTTTCCTCCTGTTTGGCATCGACAGAGCAATCAATGCTCAAAACGGCAACACGACGACGTACGAGGACATTCGGGATCCGAAGCCGTTGGTGGCTCCGGCGATCCCTCCATGCGAGGACAAGTACTTTGTTAAGCTACCTTGCTACGACTTCGTTTGGAGCGGGAACGAAAGCCGGACCGTTGACAGGATCGTTAGAGCCATTAGAGAGAACAATCCCGACAGACCCATTCCCGATACTAAGGTAAAATAAAACAAATTTCTATATCTTCTCTGTTAATGAACACCGTGAACAGCGCCGGAGCCGTGGATTTTTTAGGGTGTCGGAATTGAATTATAATTTTTTGATGCAATTTTACCGTTCAGTAACTTAAAACGTTACGATTTCTGAAGGGATCTATCTGCAATATTACCATTTTGGTGTTTATTAACTTGGTTGTGATTTGTTTTTAATTCTGCTACTTTAATACGTTCATATATATTTTCTTTAAATTGGTTTTGTATTAGCAGAATGGAAGGGAAGTTCTGCTGTAGCAGTTATACTGGTTACTTGGATAAATAAAACAGTTACTTATCAAATAATATTATATATATATATATATATATATATATATATATTTGATGTATTTTTTTGCAGGTTAAATCGTTTAGGACTACTGGTGATGTAGATGAATGGCTATTCAATAATCCTATGCATGTCCCGGGAGCTTTGCATTTTAGAGAACTTAATGGAAGTGTGATTAGTTATGGTTTACAGACTAATTCTACTGCAATGATAAGACGGGGACAAATTGAAGATCCCACACTTAAATTCCAAATTCCACTACAAGTTGCTGCAGAACGTGAGATTGCTAGGTCACTAATTGGAGGTACTAAGTTCTTCTCCAATTAGGTAATTTTATTTGACGGATGTGATTTGTGTTTCTTTGTCTGATTTGTTTATATGATAATACAGATCCAAACTTTGGATGGACTGTTGAATTCAAGGAATTTGCTCACCCCGCAGAGGACAACTTTTCCACGTTGGCTACTGTTGGACCCATTTTTTTCCTTGCGATTGCAATGTTCAGTTTCGTGTTCGAGATTGGTTCGTTGGTGTCAGAGAAAGAACTCAAGCTTCGACAGGTCTCAAATTTTTATGTTTGAAACCGAGATTAGTTTTGCAATCTTAATACAGGAATACGATGAATTCAGTTTGTTACTTTTTTGATTCTTCCCCAACAGGCTATGACTATGATGGGTCTTCTTGATTCTGCCTATTGGTTATCATGGCTCACATGGGAGGGATTCATGACACTTATTTCGTCACTCTTTATAGTTCTGTTTGGAATGATGTTTCAGTTTGATTTTTTCTTGAACAACAGCTTTGCCGTTCTCTTCTCTGTCTTCTTCCTTTTCCAACTCAATATGGTAAAAACATGTTCCTTGATCTTTACAGATGATTTGTTTGTGTTTATGATTGCTTATGTTGATTTCGGCTCTTGATTAAGTAACGATTTGCGACTTGTATGCTTGATGGGCAGGTTGGTTTCGCCTTCATGCTGTCATCATTCATTAGCAAGTCATCTTCAGCCACTACTATTGGTTTCTTCATTTTTATAATCGGTTTTTTTACCCAGGCAATGATCCAACTCTAAACTTCTTGATTTTGAAGTACATGTTCAATTATATTTATAGGCCTTAGTTATTTATTGCAGATTGTTACTACTGCTGGATTCCCCTATACTCATAACTTTAGTCAGACTCTTCAAAATATCTGGTCATTATTCCCGCCCAATCTTCTTGCTGAAGCACTAAATCTTCTTTCTGGGGCTACTAACACTCCACAAGACATTGGAGTTAGCTGGAGTAGACGAACAGAATGTGCTCCAAATGATGACGAGTGTATAATAACAATTGTACGTCCATGGTTCAAAATTGAAAATTTTTGGTTGAGAATATTTCCCATTATATCTGTCTGCTTGTTCTCTTTTCATTTATGCTTTGTTTCTGCATGTCCTGACAGAATGATATCTACATATGGTTGGTGGCAACATTTTGTGTGTGGTTTGTTTTGGCTATCTACTTCGATAACATAATTCCAAATGCATCTGGTTTGAGAAGACCAGTATTTTACTTTTTGATGCCTGGGTATTGGACGGGGAAAGGTGGAAAGGAAGAAGGTAAATAAAAATAAATTCATATTCACGAATTTTCCTATGTGAACTAATGCGACTAACTTGTAGTTTTCTTTCTTTCTCTTCATAGAGGGTGGCATCTGTAGTTGTATTGGTTCAGCTCCACCTGTGGAGCATAATACTCCCGATGATGAAGATGTCCTTCAAGAGGAAAACCTTGTTAAAACACAAACAATGGAGGGTACAGTTGATCAAAATGTTGCAGTTCAAATACGCGGTCTTGCAAAGACATATCATGGGACCAGATCCTTTAGTTGCTGCTGTAAATGCAAGAAAACTGCACCATACCATGCTGTTAAGGTAAGCAATCCTTTTTTTTCCACCATAGTTTTCTCGCCTGACGCCAAATTTAAGTACCTGAACATAAATGATTTTCTCTTTCCAAGTACTGTTTATTTTCCTAATATACTTCAAAGGAAATTTCTCGGTCTAGGATGTTGGGTCCTTTAGGATGGTAACAGCAGTTTAATTTGATTGATTTTTGGCCTGCTAGCACCCTTTTGAGCAATTTTGAGTCGCAATTCATTCAACCACATCATTATGGCTCTGCGACGTTATTCAGTGTCTATATTGGTTCCGTCTTCAATATATTCATCAAGTTGTTCTTTTCTCATGATCTTAGCAGTTGCTGAATAACTGCAGTAAGGCTAGAGATGGAAAACATAATTTTGAATTTTTTATAGGAATTTATATTTCTGCTGTAAGTGGAGATTTATTTAAAATCTTTTGCTTAATTGTAAACTTGTCTTCAGGGCTTATGGGTGAACCTTGCAAAGGATCAACTATTTTGTCTTCTTGGACCCAATGGAGCTGGAAAAACCACAGCAATCAACTGCTTGACTGGCATAACACCTGTGACTAGCGGAGACGGTAAGATGCCTTGGTCCTCGAATCTTTTCTCTTGATGCGTATAATTCGGTACAATGAATCATCTATGGAAGTAACAATATGTTATAAATTGTAAACAGCACTGATCTATGGTAACTCTGTTCGAAGATCTGTTGGTATGTCAAATATTCGGAAAATCATCGGAGTTTGTCCTCAGGTAACCATTTCTCTCTCTCTCTCTGTCTCTCTCTCTGCCAATGCAGTCACTCAGAGTCGGCATGTGCATCAGTGCTTGCCATTTTTAGCATTTCTAAGTACGGATTTTCGTTCGAGTTGGATCTTAACGTTTTTTTCTTTTTGTGTTTTTGTAGTTTGATATCCTTGGAATGCTCTATCTGGTCAAGAACATCTTGAGTTGTTTGCTAATGTCAAAGGCCTACCTACATCTACAATCGAGTCGGTATGTACCGCATAGACTTGATGGAAATAATATTTACCCAAATTTTGTCTTGCATTTGTTTGTCTCTGAATCAACATCCCATCATATTTAACCATATAAATGTGTACTGGCATACCAGCATCTGAAAACTATATGAAATACTCTTTCAACCATCATCCTACCCATAAAGATTGATTTATTTACTCGAATTCTAGGTAGTTGAGAAGTCACTGGCTGAGGTCAGACTCACAGAAGATGCAAAAGTGAGAGCTGGGAGTTACAGTGGAGGAATGAGGCGTCGACTCAGTGTTGCAATTGCCCTTCTAGGGGACCCAAAGATGGTCATTTTGGATGAACCGGTACGTACTTCTGTTTCTTTCCATTTTTTATGCTTAAAAACAAACACTTTTTCCCTTGCTACGTTGTATTTATTACCGTATGATTGCAGACTACCGGTATGGATCCAATATCCAGAAGGCATGTCTGGGACATAATAGAGCGCGCAAAGAGAGGTCGTGTCATTGTCTTGACAACGCACTCTATGGAAGAAGCTGATGTTTTAAGCGACCGTATAGGAATCATGGTAAAGGGTAGGCTCAGCTGCCTCGGAACCTCAATCAGGTTGAAGTCACGATTCGGTACTGGTTTTATTGCTAATGTTAGCTTCACTGGAAGCAACAATGGGCTCAGCCCTCCCGATGGAGATGCAGTCGACACAGCATACCAACAGGAGTCTGTAAAGCGGTTCTTTAAAAACGTATGTTGCATAAATCCAACTTATTTAAGTATTCCGTCGAGTTCTAAACAGTTGGTTTCTCATTCCGGCTCGAACTTTTTCAGCGTCTAGATGTGGAGCCAAAGGAGGAGAACCGAAATTACTTGACATTCGTCATTCCGCACGATCGAGAAAAGCTTCTTACTGTGAGTACTCGATAATCTCTGTTGGAACAATCTTTTTCTTTTGGCTTTTCTTGTTTAACTGTTTCATTTCTTGACGTTTGTAATCTCGAACAGAAATTTTTCAAGGAGCTAGAAGAGAGAGAGCAGGAATTCGGCATAGCGGATATACAACTTGGTCTTACAACCCTCGAAGAAGTTTTCTTGAACATCGCAAGGCAAGCGGAGTTAGAAAGCGCGGCAGCCGAAGGACGACTAGTAACTTTGACGCTAACATCCGGAGCATCAGTTCAGGTAAGTGAATGTGATGAAAAAGAACACACACACACACACAACATATATATGTATATAACTATAAAGGAAGTTCAACATAATTTTTTATAAAAAAAAATCATTGAAACGCGATGCAGATACCCGTAGGTGCAAGGTTTGTGGGGATTCCGGGAACGGAATCTGCCGAGAATCCTAGAGGTATCATGGTTGAAGTCTACTGGGAGCAAGATGATTCCGGGACACTCTGCATTTCTGGTCACTCTGCCGAAATTCCATTACCTCATAATGCTCAGCCGATGGTTTCTCCGCCTAATACCTGGAACCCCTTTGGCCGGAGGGTACCAGTTCGAGGAGTCGTGATCGACCCGAACGACAATGTCACACCTACTTCATAGCCATTCATAATGGACACCTTATTTTCATACTCTTTTTGCATGTTTGCTTGAACCACTATAGTCTTCTTTCAGGTCTTCTGAGTTTTTGTTTTGTTTTACTTTTTAGTGGGGGGTATAGAACATAATTTTTTTTGTAATTATATTTGTATTTAAGTTCTTAATATTTTGTCCATTAATAGAAGCCTTTAATGTTATATGTGATTTTATCATGAATTTCCTACGGAGCCTTGCAACTTCTTAACTTTAGGGTTTTTTTCTTTAATCATACTCCCAGTCCCTATACTCTCTGAACTCTTAAAATTTTAGTCATTCTGTTCTTAATTTCAGGAATTGAGTACTTTTATGTCATTAAAAAACAAAGTTCAATAAACAACAATACAACTGTAATTAAATTTGAATATGTTGTATTTGAATATTCAAAATTCTAATTAATATCACGTACTCCAATTTAACAAAAATCAACTAGCAATTTTAACAATTGGGGACCAAATTCGTAAAATTAAAGGCAAAGAGGCTAAATTCAAAAAACCCAAAAGAGTAAAAGACCAAGGAATTAGAAACCAAGAAGCTCTAACAGTAATACACATCTAGGAGGAGGCCAAGAACAACTATAAATAGCAACAATACATCAGCAGCAGCAAGGAGAGATTAGTACAAAGAAACGAGATGAAAATTTCACGACAAAGATGATTGTTTGGATATATTACCGGAAATGTCATTACATCTCTTCCTTTAGTATTGTTGGATTACCGACGTTTTGGACTAAAATGCCTTAATTTTTTTTTCAAAAATATTCTTATTATGTCATTGAATAATAAAAATTCTACGAAAGTTAAATTACAAATTTATCCTTAAAATATTTTAGATTTACAAAAAAAAAGTCTATAATTAAAATTTTATATGAAGTTCAGGGGTTAAAATAAATTTTACCCTTTCATTAAACCTTTTTATATTTTCAATTTTGTAAAAAAAATTATATAAATTTTATGAATTTAATTTTTTAAAGAAAATATATAAATATTTTCCAACTTGTTAAAAAACAAATATATAATAAGGACAATTTGGTCAAATATATTCCAATAATCTTTTATTCCTTTAACCAAATACGGTAATCTTACATTCCTGCTAAACCAACAAATACAAAATACAACATTCCCAGTAATCCTATTCCCTGATAATCTTTTATTCCCACTGATAATCTTGCATTCCCATGAACCATACGCACCCTAAGGGTAAATTACACAAAATATCATTGGACTTTATTTTATCCTCTATTTCATTTGTTATACTTTAAATTTATTCAATTTTCTCACTAAATTTAATACATGTAGATCTTTTTGTCACTTCGAAGTTAAATAGTTAACGAAGTTAAAACAATGTTATTTTTTAAAAATGAAATTTTCACCAAAACAACGTCGTTCACATCTATATAACAATCAATTTATAACATAATTAGTAAGAAAATGACTGTGTGACCAAAAAAATTAAATGTATTAAGTTGTGAGAAAATTGAATAAATTTAAAGTATAATGAGCGAAACAGGAAAGAGAATAAATTTCAGTGATGATTGATATAATTTACTCTATAAATAGTTAAATGAGATTTCTTGGCCACCCGTGGGCGACTTGTTCAATAAAATTATTATATATTTGTTCAAAGTAAGAATTGTTGAATGAGTCTTACGGATAAAATAAACGAATTGAATTGGAAAATGTGAAGAGCTTTGTTAGGAGTTTAATATTGTTCAACTTTAAATTTAACTCAACATGTATTATTATCTAATATAAAAATTTTGAAAAAAGTTATAGATTAAATTAAAGGTAAATATACGAACTAACTTACCTCAGTTGTTAAAACAATTGTTGTTATTCTTAGAGTTATGGGTTTGAGTATCTGCGACTATAGCAGGACGATTGAGTGTTTATTGTCAAATGATTGAGAGTATTTAAAACATATATTACTTTATAATCACTTTAGTTTAATAAAAAAATAAAGATAAATGTATGGTTTTATGTTATATGTGTAAAAATAAAAATATATATTAGAAGCTTAAAAGGTGTAAAATTACAATTTTTAACTTTTAAGGGTATAAAATTAAATTATCAATAAAAGATATATAAAATATTAAAATCATATAAAAAAGTTAAATTTTATGAGCATCTTAACATTCCCTTGATCAATCTAATATTATTTTTTAGTCAATAATATATTGACATTTTTAGGTTCCTAAACTTATACTTTAAATCTAAATAGAAAAACTATATTATTAGGACAATATTTAAATAAATTATGACAAAATAAATAATAATATTATTAAAATAATTGCCATAAATTTTGGTTTTGTGGCAATTAAAGAATAAACGGAATGAGTATAATTTGTCTTGCAAGCTAACCTCACATCCACAAGTCTCAACTCTCAGTAGGTTGCCTTGTTGTCTCCCTTTATTTTCACATATTTACACCCTAAAGCAAAATATTTTTTCACAAAATAAAAATAAATAAATAAAGATACTAATAATAATTGCAAATCTTTATATCCTAAAATAGGATTACCAATTAATTATGGAAATTATTATTTAATTACCCTCTAAGAAATAGATTAATCGTTCTCTATAGTTTTAACATATTTTGTTTATAAAATAAAAAAATAGTGTGAAATTTACAAGACAGAAGACAGAAGCTGTGACAACAACTACCGTCACAGCCACTCCCAATTTACTTGGAAAAAGCAAAGAGAGGGTTGGACAACATAGAGAACGGGAAGAAGAGAGCAGCCTCCATTTCTCTTCCCGAATAACATTTTTTTTTCAATAAAGGCTTGCCCTTTAGTTCTCTCTGAAACAAACCCAGATTTTTCAACTCCATTCTCAGGTATTTCTCTTCTCATAAACTATGATCTTTTTTTTTTTTTGCATTATGTTGATCCTATTATTTACTGGGTTTCAGCTCTTTTGCTTCTACATGGTTTTAAGACCAATGTATACTTTTTTTTATTCCTTTATTCGACGATTGAGCACATAGGTCTTGTTGGTTAATTCTCAGATGTAGAGGAAATTGCATGTTCTTTGTATGATTTTCTTTTTTTTCTTATGTCGTGGTCATTGTCTTTTGGGTTTAAAGTGAGTGTTTTAAGGGCGACAAAGAAGAAAAAGTGCGGTGGTTTGATTTTTAGAAGCACTAGGAGATAAGTCAAATGAAAAGATATCTCTAGCGATATGAATGGCGTTTTTGGGGGGATTTTTGCTTGGCTGTTCTTCTGTTGTTTACGTTGATCTGTTATGTAAAAGACAGAACTTGGTGTTATTTGAAGTTATTTGCAGTACTTGATTGATTCTTTTTCTGCTGACTGATTCTGTTGTCGTTTAGAGTACACTTTTTCTTCGTTTGATACTAAGGTTCATGGAGAATTTAGAGGGGAAGGGACTGCCAAATTATGTGATTTGGGGATCTAGTTCTAGAAATTTTGGGAGATCGAAAACATAGAGCACTGTATGATTGGTTTTTAGTGGATTTTGAACTGTTAGTATGGAAATTAGTGGATAGAAAAATAATGGATCATTTCTTTTTGACAGGGAAAAAAGGGAATCACTTTTTGCATGATATAATTGTCATTCTTTTCAGCTATTTATGTTTCTCTGTCGCATTATAAGCGTTTGAATGTCTCCTCTGGGATCGGTTCTTTTTCGTTCCGGAAAACTATTCATATACAGTTGAAGAGTGTAGATAAGGTGTCCAGAATGGTTGATATTGGTGGGCAAAATGTTGTAGGCTCATGGACTGCTGTCATTTGTAATTAACGAAGAGGGTTAGAGCTGAAACATCTTTCAGTAACATACTATTTATGGAAAACCTCTTATGAACAACAAGCTGTTTGTTTATTTTGCGATAGAATTTCGAGTGTGATTCTTATTTGGTGAGAAACACCATGCAAAGTTGAGATGAAATCACATCTTATTTTCTATGATGTACGACCTGCTGTTTTGCTTTTCCGGATGTGAGTGAGGACATCGAAGGACACTGCCTTTGGTTTGGTTTAGTGCCGTGTCTTTGTATAGTCGGTGCTTTTCTTATTTGTTGATCAATGGGGGTTAAACTATTTCTCTTCCATGAAAAATCTTATGGTCTGTGCAGATCATGTTACGAGCAAAGCATATTGGTAACCTGTCTAATGGTGCAAGATCATTTCTATTTAGTGGCTCACGAGGCACTGCTGCAGATGGAAATTCGTGCATGTGCCCGGAAGATGAGACCTGTGTTTCAAGAAGTCAGAACATAAGAAATGAAGCTTTGTCGAAATCCTCGGCTACGGGAGCTCTTACGTTGGGGACTGTATCCCAAGTTGTAGATTCTAATGAAGCCGAGAGAGCAACACAGCCTGTCTCTCATCCTATTCCTTTGCGTAGATCTAACATTGTAAATTCTGCTAGCAGCACTAATGCCGTTCAACATGATGAACGCGGAACAGCTACCATTTCTGATCAGTTTGTTAAAGTAGGCATCGAAGCTGTGTCATTATTGTCAGATCTGATGAATTATAAACTTCCTTTGTTCGACGGGGGTGCGATATTAAGCTCACCTAGACACTATGTGGTTGAACCGACAAGGACTCTTCCAAATATAAAATCTCCTGCTTTCAAGCCTGTCAAAAGAGAGAACTTTTCCAAAGTCAACGCAAAACAGTCATCTAAAGTAGCATATGGGGAAAAATCAACAGTTAGCTACCATGGTACAAAAGATAGAGGCAACAAATCCAATTTTGTCAAAGGTTACAAGCGAGTTTCGAATGCTGAATTTGTGGATTCATCAGAAACCCATGGTAGTTCTGCTAATACTTATGATAGGAGGAAGCCTATAGCACAGAGAGTGAAAGCTCAATCTCATCGTTTCATGTCAAATTTTAATTCCAATGTAATACCTTCAAGTGCAAAGGTTTCAGATTCCGGCATGGATGGCTTCAGGAAATCCTTTAGAGACATGAAAATGGCAACTGGAGTTTCTATGAGCAGACCTCTAGGAGGCAATGGGCACGTGTGGAAGCTGTATCCCAGATATTGCAACAGCTGAAGTGGGGCCCTGCTGCAGAGCAGGCTCTTGAAAATCTCAACTTTTCAATGGATGCATATCAAGCTAACCAAGTTCT